TGATCAAAAATACATTCCAAACTAAAAGGAAGGAAAAAAAAAGTGCATCAAGGTCAATTCCAACCCACATCAGTTCCTCAATGCAGTTGGGTTAGAATAATGGAGAAAGACACACAAAGACATCAGTTCCTCAATGCAGTTGGGTTAGAATAATGGAGAAAGACACACAAAGACAAAAATGGATGAACAGCAGCACAATGACACATTTTTGGCAGCTGGAATGGTTTACAGTGTTTAGTTTAGCACCATTTTAGAACATTTCTAGAAGTACAGTTCTAGTTTTGGTTGATGGCATCATCTATCATCTTTTAGCATTTGTGCTACTGAACTCGCACAACCCCTTTGTTTACCACCAGAATATCAATATTCTCATTTTCACACTGTGTAAGCCTTTTTTTTAGCTGATTTTCTCTTCTTATGGGCTTTTTTTTTCCCTTTAAGGAGAAATACATTTAATACATCTCCATAACATTTTCTTTTTTCTACCTCTTTTAAGTTTCTGTATTGACCTTCAATAAGCAAAACTGGATAAAACTAGATAAAAACACATAAAGGAACTTAATTCAGGCATGGTTGTGATTCCGTTTCTTCTAATATATTTTTAAAACATTTACTGTAAGAAATGTGGCTTTCATACCTGTATTTTCAGCAGGTCTTAAATTGGCCAGAGCAACAACCTGATGCCCAGCAGCAACACACTGCATCATATTATAACAACTGTCCTTCCCACCACTGTAAGAAAAATAAAATAGTGACAATTAAAGTACAGCTAAAAGTTTTAGCCTCTTCTAACTTTTGACTGTTCAAAAATTAGTATTATCAGGACTGTTTATAGAGTTTTGAAATATGAAGAGCTGTAAAATAGTAAAAGTAAAAAAAGAATGATTTCACCATACATTTACTACGTATATATAGTACCTAAAACCCGTAACCATAAAGCACATAATCAATTTTGTATTTTACTATTAATGTGAGATGTTACATGAAGAAGAGCCACTGGAATCTCTTCAAAGACTGTCTTTTACTCCAGGGACAAATTACTCTGCACTCATTACTAGTTAACTTGGATCAAAAACCCCAAATCTGCTCCAGTGAGTTGCCAGGATTAGTAATCCTTTTAAACTAGGTCTGTCATGTAGAGGTGGTGCCTAGGGATGCATTTTATTGGTGCACTTGGCAGTGTTAGGTTAATGGGGGGACCCAGTCTCTTAGGGGTCTTCTCCAACCTCATTTATCCTATGTTAGGAATAACATTTCTCCTAAATGGGCTACGTTGCCTAAACTTTCAATATTTTGAACATGTTTCCCATTCTCAAAAACTTTATTTAGTACAAGCAGTAGTTTCAGTTGACACAGCATTGAACATAGGAATTTTTCACTGCATTTAACCAGAAATAAAAATAATTACTGAAAGTAAAAAAAATATTAAAAGTAAACATAACTATATTCTTGTTAGAGGCCAAGAGATGATATTCCAACACAGAGGATACAATTAATTTTGACATTCATTCAATACCTACAGGAACATTTTCCACTATCAATGAGAAAAGCATCCTGTCCTCTTGACGTAACTGGAAAAGTATCTCTGTATATTTTAATCAATAGAAAAATAAATATTACAATCAACAGCAAGGGTGCTCTAGAATACACACTGCTTATAAGATCCATGTTCAGACTCATGACCCTCAAACTACAACTGCAGGTGGAGATTTTATGCATCTTCTTTAAATGCCACGGCACAAAAAACATGGCAGGAACTGCAACAGAGATCTATACAAGTTCTGTAAAACCGCATTTTGTTTTAGAATCACTGAGACATGCACAGAAGAACATAAAATACAAGCAGTCCTTGCTACAACAGACCATTGTGTTCTTTGTGGTCACATTATTACTATTTCTACCTGAAAGGGAGCTGGAAAAATGTGAGGCTTGGCCTCTTCTCCCAGAAAACAAGACCAAAAGGAAAAGGCCTCAAGCTGCACCAGGGGAAGTTCAAGTGGGACATCAGGAAGAACTTCTTCATGGGAAGGGCTGTCAAGCATTTGAACGGGCTGCCCAGGAAGGTGGTGCAATTACCACCCCTGGAGATGTTCAAGAAATGACTGGACATGACACTGATTTGATAATCACCAACTGACAAGTGGTGATCAGTCAAATGTTGGACTTGATAATCTTGGAGGTCTTTTCCAAACTAAATGATTCTGTGATTTTGAAACAAACTTCTTCAGAATTTCCAGCACTAAGCTCCCCCTTTTATCTAGCCCTCTACGCAAGAGCTTGAAAGTGTCCTATAGGAATGTAACCCTTTAGCTATTCCCCTCAATTTCTCTTTTACCCATGCAAAAATTCTGTATGCTATCTTTAATTTGCTGTGTAATTCAAACCTGAAGTAGAAATAGTGTAAAACATGGCATCCTTTCGTATTTAAGAGATTTTCATAAAGCAGTTGCTTCTGCTTCAGTGCTAAAAAGTACATATAAGTATGATAGATTCCTGCTCCATATCACTGGATAGATTCCAATTTTAAAATAATATAATAAAAATAGATTCCTGCTACCTAACACTCTTCTAATGAATACCGGCAACTTTCTTCTTACCTATATACAGACACAAAAAAAATTTAAAAAAACCCCATACATTCATTAATTTTGGACACTGCTCTTGATAGCTTGAAAATGTAGATAGTATTCACTTCATAATTTGAACTTCCATGTTTAACAGTGTCATGAGACAAAGATTCTTTTCCTTCTGAATGACTTTATGCTAAAAAAATAACCCTCCCAATAGTGCTGATTTTACCTAAAAACACCACTTCAGAAAAATAATTATATGATAATAGAAAATTGCCTATGCTGCTTGTAGCATTTTAGTATTTTAAAAAATTGAAATCAAAAATTACAATGTCACTGGAATAAATCTATTCATCCTTTCAATTAATTTATATGTGTATATATACATAAAGACACTTTAAGATGCATACTGATGTCCATATTGCTTACACTGGAACACCAGTTAGTAGGTCACTGAATCACATGCTACTGTCCTGTTATTTATTCTCTGTATTATTTACCACAGCCCTAAAAACTAACAGTATCATGAAACAAACAAAATGGTGCCCACCTACAAGACCTTCCAAACTAAATGTAAAATACTCTGTGGTTAAGACCAATGAAACCAGACCCATAGCCCATGCTATGGGAGGAAGGTGGACTCAGCACAGTCCACAGAAGAGAGATGAAGGCAAGTACTGAGATAGCCTGGGGACCACTCTCAATTCCCAGCATAGAAAAAAAAATCACAAGGCCTTTTTGTAGAAGTGAGGGCAGTCATGGTTCTGAAAATATGTTAACAGGCAGGCTTATAAACAAAATACCTGAAGAAAAAAACCTGGGTAACCGTGAAGATATGAACCTATAAAAGACTTCTGAGCAAAATTCCTTTCTGTAGACAAGTATAACCACTTACAGTTAAGAAAATTCTAGGAGAATTTTAAAGAGTTGAAAAACATCGTATTTCAGGTTGAAGACTGGCTTTAACATGTCTATGATTTAGCACAAAACAAAATGCAGGATTTACCCCATAAATACCAACTTAAAACAGGACTATCAGCTTTTAGTGAGGCCAACATTCTATAAGAAAAAAAACCCCAAAAAAACCAAACAGGTTAAAGTAGTTCCATACATAATCCTGACCTTTGCAAAAGTAAGAAGTACTTTTCAAATACTTTTTTTCCCCCTCTGATCTTTGGCTAGCTTTGTTACAAAGACTTCAGACACTTTGATGTCTCTTTAAAACTCTTCTTAAAACTATTACTGAAACTAAATCCATCCTTGTAAAATAGACCATTAAAATAGCAATTGTGTTAGAAACCTGTTTATAGGATTTTATTCCATCCTGCCTTTTAACACATTCCTCTGCTTAGAGAATATCAAAGTAAATAATCCTGAAAGACAAAGTCTTATCTGCAAAATAAAATACAAAAATTGAAGCTGATTTTCCCTACACTGTATTTGAGCAAATCTTGAAAAACAGACATTTCCTGTATTTTCGTTTCTGCATGATGTTTGGAATGATTTGCAATTGTTACGGCCAAACCCCAGTTTCAACAAGATTTGATATTAGACATTCCCTGAGAGAATTTAATACATTAAATGTTTAGGCTTAAGTAAATAGCTACTGCACCCAAAAATAAAAATACACAGTTCATATCTGCACAATTCTTCTCCATTTAGAGGTTTCCTAGCTTGTTCTTTTTAAATTAACTATTGTTTCTCCAATAAAAACACATACATGTCCTTATTAGAAAGTGTTAGTTTAAAAAAAAAACCAAAAAAACAACTTTCAAGAACTGCACGAACTAACAAAGAAACTTATAAAAAATATAAGGGGGTGGGGAGGATGGCAAACACAGCAACCCCCGACAGACACGTCTGTGTCCAACTCCAACAACTTAAACGAGCTATCTTCATCATTTTAAAACTGGCAAAATTTAATCTCTTGCAAAAAACACACAACAAAAATCTATCGTTAAGAGTTGAGGAAATCTGTCCTGATAGAGCTTAAGGTACTTGGAAAGCAAAAGCACCTGGCTATTGAAGTGCAAATGAGTAGAAGCCCGTTTTTAGAGCAGGACACGCGGCCCACGCTCGGCGCCCCCGGCGGCTCCGGCTCCCGCCGCGCTGCGGACGGCAGAACCCGGGACACCGGGATACCGGAGAGCAAGCGACGGGGGGAACTAACTGTAGGTGTTCTTTTCTTTTGGTTGGTTGGTTGGTTGTTTTTCGGGGGGTGCGGGTTGGTTGTTTGTGAGGGTGGATTTTTTATTTTTCTTATTTAATCTTAAAAAGACACCGGTTATTCTTGAACTCTTCTGGTCTCATCTTGACCAGACGAGAAACCGTCCCGGTCTC